GCAGGTGCTACGCTGCGTTGATGAATCGCACCTACGAGCTTTGCGTACGTACTTCGTAGAAACTCGGTGTAAGCAATACACTTTACGCAACGTTGATGAATCCGGCCCCTGATTGGCAAATTTTGTCTCTTATTTATTTAATTTTTTATGATTTTTAGCTAATTTTGTTTTAATTTAGAATTAGGGATAGGGTTAGAGTTAGGGTTAGGGTTAGGGTTAGGGTTAGGCTTAACCTATGGCAGAAAGCTATATGATTTCTCTAGACCTTGTGCAGTGACGTCATATTATATGATGTTCTATTGTTTCCCCGGCATCTTGGTGATCATAGATATCATATAACAACATGCTGTTATATGATATCTATGTTGATGATCATCTCATTCTGCTCAGCTGGCTTAGACTGGTACCCGGTCGGCACCGTCATTCCGTCCAGAGACAGATCCACGTCCAGAGCCAGTCTACAGCTTGATCACCATAGCGTTTGCTGCATGGTATATGTAGGAGTGTTTCACGTGACGTCATAGATCAGGTCACGTGTATTTGTTATGTGTCATGGTTGGCAGCATAGATGGCAGAAGCGAAGCGTGCTGCTTGACATTTACAGATGAATGACCACATGTTCTGATAGAAAGCGCTGTTTATGTAGTGCATTTACACGTGCGTGCTGCGTGCGTGCGTGCGTGCGTGTGAACTTACACGTGCGTGCGTGCGTGCGTGTGCACGTACACGTTCGTACGTTCGTGTGCGTGCGTGCATGCGTGTGTGTGTGCGTGCATGCGTGTGCAGGTACACGTGTGTGCATGAGTGCGTACGTGCGTGTGTGTACAGGTACACGTGCGTGCGTGCATGCATGTGCACGTAGACGTGCGTGCGTGCGTGCGTACGTGTGCACGTACACATGCGGGCATGCATGCGTGCGTGCGTGTGTACGTAAACGTGCGTGCATGCGTGCGTGTGTGCGTGCGTGCGTGCGTGTGTGTGCGTGTGCACGTATACGTGCGTGCGTGCGTACACGTGCGTGCATGTGTGCGTGTGCACGCGTGCGTGCGTGTGCAAGTACACGTGCGTGCGTGCGTGTGTACGTACACGTGCGTTCGTGCGTGCGTGCGTGTGAACTTACACGTGCGTGCATGTGTGCATGCGTCCGTGTGTGTGCACATACACGTGCGTGCGTGCGTGCGTGTGTACGTACACGTGCGTGCGTGCGTGCGTGTGAACTTACACGTGCGTGCATGCGTGCGTGCGTCCGTGTGTGTGCACGTACACGTGCGTGCGTGCGTGCGTGCGTGCGTGTGCAGGTACACGTTCGTGCGTGCGTGCGTGCATGCGTGCGTGCGTGCGTGTGCACGTACACGTGCGTGCATGAGTGTGTGCGTGCGTGCGTGCGTGCGTGCGTGCGTGTGAACTTACACGTGCATGCATGCGTGCGTGCGTCCGTGTGTGTGCACGTACACGTGCGTGCGTGCGTGCGTGCGTGCGTGCGTACGTGTGTGCGTG